TCAAGGCAGTGCAAAAATCTTAACCATCTTGGTTGTTTGTCTTTTTCTTGCCATTGTCACTTTTGTCTTGCTTATTGATGTGTTTGTGTAAGACACTATTCTTTTCAAACATATTCTTTATGGAAGAATATATAATATGTAAAAAGGACTATACAACTCAGATGAATTATAATGAATTGCATTAAACTGTGTTTGTCTTCACAAATAATAACAGAGGAAGAAGAGATACACAAGTAATTAATCTCCCTTTGCTTCCTCGAGCCTAAGCATTTGAAATGGCTTTTACCATATCAGAAATATACATCATATTTAACTGTTATGACCTATTGTAAATATTTTAAATATGGTAATAGCTATATGCAGGAAGCTATGGTGCCATGTGCCAGATGTTACGCCACCTGCACATTTCAGTGCTCCATATAATTGCAATCACACATGATGCTTTAGGAGAATGCAACAGAATTCTGATTCAGTTTCCTATAATGCTAAAAGGTTTATGAAAAGCCTGGATACGTGCTTTGAGACCAAAACTACAGCTGCACTATTTTTGAAAGAACAGAAGGCTTACATGGAGCATAGAACATGACCAAGGCGTGTTTTTTCTTTTTCAGAAATTCCCTGAAATCTTCGGCTCCCAGGTGGCTCACGCTGGACGGCATCTCATCCCACGACTTCTCTGGAGGAGGTGGGGCCTGGGGACTGAGAGAAAGAGCCTGTGATTAAATAGGTAAGCTGTTAGGCTGACATCTCAGAAACTAACACTCACAGCCAAGTTAGGTCACTGTGAAATAACTGTGAAAATTGTCATAATCACTTTAATATACTGAATAAAATGCCGATGTAATTAGACTTACACCCATGAGTTCAGAAAAACTGAACGGCTGCCAAAGTATTTAGACATTTAAGCCAGAATTTCATTTAATTACATAAAATAATTTCTATAATAACAAAAGTATTAATTTCTTGGTGTTCAGCCTCGGTGAACGTAAGAGTTTTTCTTTTTTAATAAATCATACTGACCCCAAACCTTTGAATGATAGTGTATATACAGTATATGGTTTGACATTTTGTTACTGCAATGCTAATGCTTTTTGAGTCCACTTTATATGCATATCACGCAATAAACAATTTCAAACATGACTGCACCTCAAGACTAAACAAAACCCAAACTTGGGCTCTCCTGACTTCCCATGTCCCATGGTATTATCATATTGCATGACTACAAATCTACAGTATTTGCCATGAGTCTGACAACACACTTGGCCCTGCTGTTCTGGGACCTGTGAGGTGGCACTTAAACTCATAGCTGATGCCCGCACAGAAGGACTGCTCTAGGATCAAAGCAAGGGCAAGCTCTTCCACCGAGAGGTCAGTTTAGCAGTGATTGATTGTAGTCAAGCTCCGTTGAACACATCCCAAAGAGTCAAGGGAGACAGCAGTATAAAAGAAAATTCTCAAGCTCCCAGCCCACACGCAGGTCGCTCTTTAGAATCAGTCAGTGTGTGTTTTCGAGAGCATGTTCCTATTGACTGAACCCCTGTCATTTATGTGGCCCTCTTAGTGTGAAGTTCAGTAATGCGTGAAAAACATCTCCAGGTCAAATGCATGTGGCCCTTTCAAACAATTCTAGAGTCTCACTATTTTTTCCAGAAGTCTAACACTTGTTCTAACTACGTGACATTCAGTTACCACTTTAACATAAAAACAAAACCACAAAGTGGGCCCTTGGACACATTTTTAGCATTTATAATAGACCTTCCTGACTATTTATAGAGTTAAGAGAATGCAAAGGGGAAGAGCAGCACAACAAAAAGCAATTTCTGCCTCATCTGTACCTGACCTTATCTGAGCACTACATCCACCTCCATCAGAAATAAATATTACAAAGTGTGAAGAAATAAATGAAAGCAAAAACAAGCATTTACCCATGTAGACCTCCATCCACCTACATAAACAACTACATCCAGTCAAAAACAGGCATTGTGTTTTATCTGTTTTATACATTAATGCCTCTGCAGAGATGCATTGCAGAAACAGCATATTTTCAAGGCCTTTTTTTTCTTCACTTTTATAGGAACAGTAGAGAAAGAGGGCAGAATACAATAATAATAAATTAATAATATAATAAAAAATAAAAGTATTATAATAAAATATTAACAATAAATTATTATTGTTACTATTACTATTATAAATTGAACAAACTATTCATATGCCAAATATTTAACTGGCCTAACCATAATTTAAATGCAATAATAATAATAATTTAAATGCAAAAATAATATAATACTAAAACAATAAAAATATAAATAAAAACTACTAATGACAGAATATTTTGTTGCAACAACTTACTGAATTAATATAGATATAATTTAATTTCCCATGCTGATGGTCAGTAAATCACTGAACAGCAGAGTTAAACTCACTTCTGCAGCCACTCGATGATCTTGTCTTTGCTCCGTAGTTGAGGAAGTGTGTACTTTTCCTCCCCCTTTTCAAAGTACTTCACTGTTGGGAAGCCTGAGATTTTGAACCGCTCTCCGATGGACTTGTGAATGGTGGCATCCACTGCTGCCAATACACCTGGGCTCTGAAACAATACGAATATACAAAGATAGAAAAGCACGGTTTACTTTCAGCTTAAAAGCACACCATACTGTATGTTATCTGACAGTTGACAGGTCAGATTCACCTAGAATGTGCAAACAGATCCTAAATGTTGAACATTGTTAATCCATTGCAAACTGCTCTTTTTCAAAAGGATCAATGTGATTGAGGTGCCAAGCTAATTAGAGACGCTCATTTTTAACCCAAATCACTCCCTAAAAACTTTCCAGCAATTATGGAACTCATTAGGTTCCAAAAGTCTATTCGCAACTTAATTAAAATCATGAGGCAATTTGAGAACAGTGCAAGTTGTGCATTTTAATATTGATTGTGTTCTGTGGTTGAAGGGACCTCCTGCAGTTGGAGTAGATGAGATGCATATTTATTCAACGATTTCTGAAGCTCAGGAAAGGAGATTGAGGATATAGGAATCAGTTCCCTTAAATTCATGTTCAAACCATAGATTTTAAAACCACTTTCTTTCACTCTCTTTATCTAACTGGTTTAAATTAGGAATGTTAACGTTAACCTGTTAATTAATGTGATTTAAAAACAACAAAAAAAACTATTTGCATTGGGCATCCAGCGCATTTAGATTGTTTGAGAAATATCATATCTTTATGTCGAGTGAGACACAAAGACAAAGAGCACTATTGCAAAGAAACAATAAACACTTTTTCAGTGTCATCCACACAAATTGCAGAAAATTATATTTACACAAAGGCCTATTATTTAGACAGATTTATGACATCCCCGGTTTAAACGCAATCAATTTGTTGTTGAAGTTCTGGAGACAACAGACAAGCTTTTTTGATGAAATGACAGCACAATTTGGCACAGCTTTGTTTCCGCCATTATAAAGCTGCGAAATAGACTGTCATTATGAATGTTTCCTCAGCTTAAACTCAATTAACTCCCTCTATTTGCACACATCTGTCAGTGGGATACCTTATATTTATGATGAGAGTCTTGGTCATTATCACAAACAAAGGATTTGTGTTCGAGTTTAGGCCCCAACCCTGCAGGGGCCAAATAATCTATGGACAGCTATCGGAGCTGTGAGCCAATTAGAAGTGTATGCAAACCAAACCACTTGACAACAAATACACAAACATATCTCATTAAAGTAACGGCACTGCATTTCAACAACACACTTGAGAGATAAGCATGGCCGCTTGAATTTCTCCACCATCCACTTACAAAATGTCATATTCGTAACCCCCGTCTTACATTCATATATTCGCATTTAAACATCCATTTTTCAAAGTCTCAGAAAAATGCAAATTGAAAATGCTTTAAAAAAAATCTTGACACATGGATTCTCTTTTTAAACCGTGTGTAGGGCCGTAAACGCAAGGAATGAGAAAAATAAATGACTTCAGCTCTCTCTGGGGAGAAGATGTGAGGACTAGAGCATGCATTAGATAATGCATAACGTGTCATTATTGAACTCTGGGAAGAGCATCACTCCGAGTAGCTCCAAGCTGAAGGCTAGAGGGACGGTACAGAGGAAAAGGAAAATGAGATAAATACTCCAACTATAAGGCTCTGGTGACTGCAATTGGCCTGCAACTATGGAATAGAGAACAGAGCCAGCACTGCGGACACACCCGGAAAATGAGAAACACACCACTCAACATGGCCAGAGATGTTTGTGAACTGTATATGTCTCATGTTATAAGTTTAAAGCCTAAAAAATTACCATGTCATGCAAGGATGGAAATGTTGAATCGAAGGTTGAAAGAGTAAAACATTTTTGGATTTGCCGCCGGGTGTTATCAAATTAGGATGATGGAAAATTACAGTTGGCTTATTTTAATCAAGTCAATTGGACACAGACTTTTTACGAGGAATGCCTCAAAGCGACAATTACACACCTAGAACCATAGGTGTTATGTTGCCTCCATGTTGTCTTTTGCAAAGTCTTTTCAATTTTATGACAAGCAAACAGTGGTGTAAAAGTACCTGAAAGCCATACTCAAGTAAAAGTACAGATATCTTACCAGAAAATGACTTTGGTAGAAGTTGAAGTCACCGTTTAGAATATTACTTGAGTAAAAGTCTTAAAGTATGTGATATATATTGTACTTAAGTACGAAATGTATAAAGTACCTGAAAGCCATACTTAAGTAAAAGTACATATATCTTACCAGAAAATCACTTTGGTAGAAGTTGAAGTCACCGTTTAGAATATTACTTGAGTCTTAAAGTATGTGATATTTATTGTACTTAAGTCCGAAAAGTATTTTTTAAATCTTAAACATACTTAAGTATTGAAAGTAAAAGTACAAGTAAATGCAAAATGGAAAAGAAGCAAATAAATATATATATAAAAAAAAATTCATACACTGCTTGAGTAGCAAGATTGTGTTCAGTTTGAACTCCTTCTTCCATTTTGTATTTTTGGGTAAGAATAAGAAGCACTTCATCCAGTACTTAGTGTCTTTCATTCCAACATAAGAAATCATTTCTGGAATCTGCATCTGAAATAGCATTTAGATGTATTTACACAGTTTA